GGGGGGGGCAGATGGAGCGGCAGCTGCAGCGCACTTTCTTATCGCACTCTTACACGCGTGGACCGCAGCTGCAGGAGGTGGTGGACAGCTGCTCTAGTCGGTGGACAGCTGTAGCCTGTCGGCAGCTGCGCACGCGGTGGGCCGCCGCCGCGCCATTCTTGGCGTTCCTGCAGCTCTTGCGGCCTGCTGGCGCGACCGTGCACCCCTGCGGGCCCTCCTGCGGTCCTGCGGCGGCGGCAGGGGGCCGAGGCAGGCTGAGGGCGCCCGTGCTGTCAGAGGGAGGAGGAGGCCTGCTGCTGGGGTTAGCCTCAAAGTGACGGCCCAGCGGCAAGTTTGGCCAACACAACGCCTGCGCCGCGCCCCCGCGATAACCGACAGCAAACACTGCCAGAAGAAAAAAAAAAACACGCAATACTGCACGGCCGCAACTCAAAATCTGCGGTGAAGCGTCTCTGCTGGCGGGGGGCTTCTTTAACCTGCCACTGGAAAATAATTGACTTGACAAACGTTTACAAAACAGAAAGGAAAATTTATAGGGCTAACATAAGCCCTCGAGCACTCCCTTCTTTCCTCTTTTTAAAGCATCAGCAATAAAACACTTTACTTTGGTAAGGAGAGCAGCGGGAACGAGAGTGGGAAGCACATGCAAAAAACATCACACAAGTCTTCAATTTCTAGGAAATCGTTTGCTAAAACAGTTGAATAAAAGCGCCGGCCTGTTGTTTTCAATTCATTCTGATTTCTCAGTACTCGGTTGTTTTCGGAATGGTAAAATGCCCAGACATAAGAAGGGGCGCAGAATCGACGTTGCGAAAGACGAAGAGAGCGCACCTCCGTCCGCTGGGGCCGTTACTCGAGTTACTTGTGAGCAGCGGGTGTTTATGTGAGAGCCGGCGCGGGTGGCGTCTGTTATTGGAAAGAGGCGTGGATCCACCACGGACCGGTGTCTGTGCGTGTGTGAGTGAGACAGAGAGGGAGTTAGCGAGAGCAGGGGAATAGGCGGGAGAGGGAAAGGGAAAGGGAGAGGGAAAGGGAAAGCGAGAGAGAGAGAAAGAGAGGGAAGAGGAGGGAGGGAGGGAGGTAAAAAGGGAGAAAGGGAGAGAGGGAGTATTCGAAAGGTACGGAAGGTAACATCCGAAGA